GCCCAGCCTGGGGGGGTGGGGTGGGGTGGCAGTGCCCCATGGTGTGTCCCCAGGGTGTTGGGGTCCCCAGGCTGTGCCTCGTGTCCTCTGGGTATCGGTTCAATGACCCTCCCACCAGGTGTGTGTGTCCCCCCCCCAAAGGGTTTTCATGCCCCCAGGGTCCCGTTTCTTCGTCCGCAGGGTTTTGCCGTCCCCAGGGCGCTGCCCAGGTGTCACCGCGGCCGCGATGACGGTGACCTACACCTCGCGGGTGGCCACCGCGCGTTTCGGGGGCTTCTCACAGCTGCTGCTGCTCTGGCGCGGGAGCATCTACAAGCTGCTCTACCGGGAGCTGCTCCTCTTCCTCGCTGCCTACCTGGGGCTCAGCCTGGCCTACCGGTGCGGTGGGGGGCACGTGGGGGGGGACTCAGTGTGCGTGGGGACATGTGGAGGTGCAGGGAGTGCATCGGAATGGGGCTATGGGGACACGCGGGGTGCGGGGGTGGGGTCATGGGGATGGGGGGACACGGGTTGCATGGAGACATGGTACCTTGTACAGCAGGACACAGAGGGGGGACACACGCAGCTGGAGGGAGGGGCTGGGTGAACCCCCCCCCGGTGTCCCCCCACGTGTCCATTCCCCCCTCGCCAGGTTCCTGCTGTCGGAGGCGCAGAAGCGGCTCTTTGAGAAGCTGGTGCTCTACTGCGACAAGTCGGCCAACCTCATCCCTGTCTCCTTTGTCCTTGGTGAGAGCCCCCAGTGCCCCTCCCCGTGTCCCTAGCTCCCCCCCCTCCAGTGCCTTCTCCCAGTACTCCCACTGTCCCCAGTGCCCTTGTCCCCCCCATGACCCCTCCCAGCGTTCCCAGTGTCACCAACTTACCTCAGCACCTCCACCCAGTGCTCCCACTGCCCCCTGTGCCCCAGTTCCCCCACCTCACCATGTCCCCAGTGCTCCCAGTGTCCCAAACTCTCCCCAGCGCCCCCTTCCCAGGGCTCCCAGTGCCCCCAGAGCATCCCAGTCCTGCAGGTTTCTACGTGGCGCTGGTGCTGGAGCGCTGGTGGGGGCAGTTCCGCAGCGTCCCGGCACCGGATGGGCTGATGGTGGCCGTGGCGGGCAACGTCCACGGGGCCGATGCACGGGGCCGCATCCTGCGCCGCACCCTGATGCGATACGGCAGCCTGGCTGCGCTGCTGGTGCTGCGCGCCGTCAGCACTGCCGTCTACAAGCGCTTCCCTACCACCGACCACCTCGTCGAGGCTGGTGCGTCCCTGCTGCCCTGCTGTGACCTCATCAGGGCACGATGATGTCATCAGAGGGGGTGACATCAGCACAGGGGCAGTAACGGGCCAGTGGGACCAGCAGAAGGGTCACGGGGGGGCACAGGGACCCCCTGGGGATGGCATCATAGCAGTGATGTCACCGTAGGGCACCCCACTGGGGACGGGAATGGCATCACAGCAGTGGTGTTGCTATGGGGGTGGTGATGTCATCACAGAGGCAGTGATGTCATCATGGGAACTTCATGGGGCTGGGCATCAGGTTCCCCTAACCTCTGTGCTGTGACAACAGTGGGGCACCCCGATATCACTGGGTGTCAGTGCTGCTAGGCACATCATGGGGCAGCGGGTGATGTCATGGGGGCTGGCGGGTGACATCACGGGGAGGGCAGATGGTGACGCTGGCCCTGCAGGGTTCCTGACACGGGAGGAGCGGCGGCGGCTGGAGGGGCTGCGCTCGCCCTACAACAAGTTCTGGGTGCCCTGCGCCTGGTTCGGGGCACTGGCGGGGCAGGCGCGGCGGGAGGGTCGCGTGCGTGATGACTGTGCCCTCAAGCTCCTCATGGAGGTACCCCCCCCCCCCAAGCCCCGTGACTCCCCCCG